AGGCCTTTTCTTTTCCTGCAGGTGAAACCACTGGGCAGGGGGCACTGAAGTCTCCACTAAGACACTATACTCATCTGGAGTGCTTTTAATAAGCCTGATGCCTAGGCCACATTTCATATACCTTAAAATCAAGTTTGAGAACTGCTGCTCTAACACCTTTCCTGGCATCAGTGTCTGAGGGGATTAGAGGGAGTGTCTGAGACAGGAAGATGAATGTTTCAAAGCACAGGGGGCACTGAGGTGACAGTCTCAAGGTTAAGAACCTGACAGTCACTACTATTAGGAAAAGCAGCTTAAAAATCACTTCCTTCACTAACCCAGCCTCTCATCTATGTCCATATAAGGAAACCACAGACCTTTAGAGCCTTATAGAACCTTCAAGATCATCTACCTCAGCCTACTTCACCGTATACTTGGGAGAGTCTGAGGCCCAACAAAGGAATGTGACTAGTCAGGATCATGGCAAGTTTTTAACAGCAGGGTCAGGATTAGAACCCATTTCTTCTCTCAGTCAACACCTTTACATTGTTATTTAATATGTTCTGAACACAGCAGTGTGGTGTAGTGCTTAGGAATATGTGCTGTGGCACAAGAGTGCTTGAGTGAGGATGCTGGCTCCACTGGTGGACTCTGTCACACTGAGCAAGTCATTCAATGCCCTTGAGCCTCAAGTTTCTCACCTGGAAAGTAGAGAGAATAATGGCACGCACCTCAGAGTGCTGTGAAGACTACAAGAGAGGAGCCACACAAGTAATGTACTTGGCACAGTGCCTAACACACAGTAAGCAAGCAGTAACGTTAGCTGTTCTTATTCTTGTAACAATAAAGTAGGTCAGGGTAGCACCCTGAAGAGAGGAAAAGAAGGAACAGGTATGGCTATGGTTGATGTCCAAAATGTTCAAGCAGCTCTGCTTTCAGACTGTTCAAGTCAGGGCAATTCTGAGACATCAGCTTTAACTTAACCATGACACGACCTCAAAGCATCTTCACCTGTCAAACTAGCTGCCCATCAAACAAATAAATGAACACAAAAACACTCTGCATGCTGAAAGTGCTGTACAAATGTGAGAGATGTATTATTACTCTTAATAATGATATTTGTCACCATCACCATACAGTCTGCCTCAACCAGTTTGAACGTTGATGTATCAGTCATAAGTCCATGCAATGGTGTAAGAAGCAGGGAGTCAGGACAAGGTCACTCACAGAAGCCCTAACATTTAGTCATAATATTCAAACAGAAAGAGAGCTAATGAGTAGGGACAAGTAAAACAAGATCAATCTTGGCTCTCATTGTCACCAAGAGACTGAACTCATTTAAAATGCCCAATGAGCAGCAAGACATAATGATGGGCTTAATAAGACACCAGACCCAAATCTTCTCAGTGCTGGGATGGACCTTTCACAAGAGGTGATGGCATGTCTGTTGCAGAGGATTTGAAGACCACCAAAATCCTTTTCCAAAACCAGCAATAAAACTCAAACTCCTTGTTTGTTGGATTAATAAAAATGACTAAAGGGTGAGGATAGGGTCTGGGAGTCATGAGAAGTGTTTTTTCAACTTTGTAAACTGCATAGAAAATTTTAACTTGCTTTTGTGAGCACATTTTTTAATTTTAGAAAAGCAAGTAAGATAAAAAGAGAGGGAGTAAGGGCTAGAAAAGCTGAAAATTTTCAGGGACAGAAAATTCAACATCTATTCATTCACAAATGCTGTATGGGTAAGGTGTGGAGTCTCTGGAAGACACAAGACTCTAAGGAGTCGAAAGGCTCAAAAAGGAAGACAATCCCAAAAGAGGCTGTTTATGGGACAGAGGTCCTACAAGGTCTAGTCATCACTGTTCCCTCTCCCCTTGGCCAGCCCTGCTCCATCTTCCTCCCCCAGCAACTGCTCGGGTCACCTGCCAAATACCTAAGAAATGTAATCCTCAACAGTAATAGTATCTTCTTGTTTACACTGTGCCTCATGCTTGTCCTTTGGAAAAAAGAGAAAGAAAGAACAAACCCTACTTCAGGTGCAAGGCCTTCCCTGCTTCTGCTGCTACTAAGTCACTTCAGTCGTGTCCGACTGTGCGACCCCATCCCTGGGATTCTCCAGGCAAGAACACTGGAGTGGATTGCCATTTCCTTCTCCAATGCATGAAAGTGAAGTCGCTCAGTCATGTCTGACTCTTCGAGACCCCATGGACTGCAGCCTACCAGGCTCCTCCGTCCATGGGATTTTCCAGGCAAGAGCACTGGAGTGGGGTGCCACCGCCTTCTCCAAGGCCTTCCCTACTACATGTATATACAATCATCCCCAAAATTCCTTTCTCAACAGGGATCTACAGATTAGGGTGGAAAAGCACTGCCACCTCAGGTCTGTTTCCAAATATGTGTCCCTCCCTGTGGTTCCTTCAGCCTTTTCTTTTGTACATAACAAGTAACTCAAGATTCGGTCATGTGACATACAATGCCGTGTCCCTGGCTAGTCTAAGTCCTTAACTCCCCACAGGGCTGAGGCCAAACAAACACCTTGGGAAGTTCTCAACTGCAGGGAAAGCCAGATGGGGAAGAAGGGGTCTGAGTGTAGAGTAATGGGCTGAATTATATTGCCCTTAAGTGCCAATTTAGTTAAAACCACAAATGAAGATTATGAGTCTCCTTTCAGCAGAGATCACTTACATTTCCTGAAAATCCCCTGACCTTCTCTGTTCTTGAGTACCACCACCTCTTGCCTATTGTAGAGTTTTTATAAATTATTATAGCTATAAAAAGATAACTTGTCTCTTATCCCACCCTAGTGGAGCTGAGGAAAAAAAAATAAGAGTTTACATGAAAATACTTTGGGAATAACACACACACTGGTCTAAATTCAAGGCAATTTTCTACCCCAACCACAATCAGGAGCTAGTTTCAAATATGATCCTGGGTCTATGGAAAACCTTTTTGAATTTACACAAGAAAAGTCAAATGTTCAGGCTTTATCACACCAAACTATCCCTAACCCGAAAGACATTAAGTGTTCAGCTGTTTTCTATCCAGGTGTCAGGGGAGAGTAGGAAGAGAGGATAACTAGAATTCCATGTGAATTTTCTTGACAGATTAACATACCTGCCCAAGCTAGTTACAGAATATGTTTTAGCATTATACAAAAATAGAATTCTCTTAAGGTCTACTTCTTTAAAATTAGGATGTTAACACCACCTGCCCAATCCTCCTCACAGGACTACTGTACAGTACAAATGCAATAGAGCACAGTACATGCCTTTGCTATGGTGAGATACTGTGTATGCTGTAACTTCCTCAGAAGACACTCCTGCCTGCAGCTTCCAGACCACTTCCCTGCCAAAGAGAATGTGAGGAAAGATGCCTCTGGGGCACCTGAACCCCACATTCTCAAGCAGCCAACCAATGGAAAAATAACCCCTCTCCACTCTTGAAAATGCTGCACAGAAGTCATTAACTCCTAATCAATATGATCAGAGTTAGTCAGGACTTGCAATTGTATGTAATTTATTCTTTAGGCTTAGAGAGCTTGATTAACTAGACACACCACTCTCCCTCCCTCACCTGTCCTAATCTGTTTCCTCTGCACTTGAACTTTGTGCTAAAGGCTCAGTCTGGAATGTTGCAGGGCTTTAACTCTCATACGGAGGAGTCAAACATCTACTCATGTAGCTCAGCTCATCTGGATGGGGAAGGGCCCTTGGCTGGTTTAGAGAAAATGTTTTCTCATACCTTCATCCTATGTTGAACAAATATGGCATTCTTTAAAAACAGAGATAAACCCAGATCTCTGGAAGAAAAGCCACAGAGTTAATCAAATCCTAGGTTCTCTGGTTTGCGTGGGCTGTAACCAAGCCACTGTGACTCAATCCCTGCAGGCATTTAGAATTCAATCCTAGCTGCTAGAGGCACTGCCCATCCTTACGTCAACAAGGACACAAGCCAGGGCAAGTGTCACCAAGACACTACTTTCATTTAGTAACACCATGTAATAGAAACTTTGACTGTGTCCAAGCTTTTTTTTTTTTTTGAGTCCAAATTTTTAGTCTTCCAAATATTTTAAGGAAAATCTGAATACCTGCTATAAATTAAGGAAAATCTTAATACCTGCTATATATAGGCCATTTCCGTTTCCTAAATTTATCCTTCCAGTTTCTAGAAATCACCCTATAGATTTAGACAACAAGTTTGTGTGCTTTCTAAGCAAAAATGAAAAGGCCTGGAAAACACCCTCATCTCTTCAGTCTGACCTCAAACAGTAGCCCTGCCTCTCCATGGTCATTTTATAAAATGGAAAAACGTGGTGATGTGAGTCAAGACTTAAGTTCCATGCTATCATAGTGTTGTCACAAACTGATGGTATGACAAGAGAGCCAGTGGTTTTCACTTCTCTGGGCCTCAGTTGCTTCTTTGAAATAATACAGGAAAGTTGGGTTAAATGTTAGTTAGCTCTAACTCTTACAGTTCTATTGGCCTTCCTTGAAACTTCCGACTACAATCTCATCTTTAAGATGTCATGCACCCAGAGGTTCTATTAAAATTCGAATGAATTACCTACAAATAGTTTAAGTTCACCCCTGTACTTTGCCAAATCCTGCTGGCACATTGGAGATAACTACACAATAATACTTAAAAGGCACTATTCTAAGAACTTTACCTAAGGATGAACCATATGAAACTGCCAACACTGAAGTATTTTTTGAACTACAAAAACGGCAACTTCAACTTATTTATTCCCTCTAACCAACCCATGTGCCATGTGGTAGGTTTTACAAAAGATGAAAACAGAAACATAGAGAAGTTAAATAACTTGCCACAGTCATACAGCTAGATGATGGGGTTTGGATTTAAACCCAGGCAGTTGAGCTCCTGAGCCTTCAGTCCTAACCATAACACTATATACTGCCTCCCATAATGAAAACAAGAAAAGCTTGAAGACTGGAAGCCCAAGCCAAGACAGTGTCTCAGAAGGAGGGTGAGAGGCTTACGCCGCAGCCTCTGCTGGGTTGTACCTTTTACTTCAATGGTGGCATTTGCTTTAGGAGCACTGAGAAACTGATATACACAGTGGTATTCGCCTGAATCCTCAGCTCTCGGCTTATTGATCCTGCAGAGATGAGAAGAAAAATCAAGTGAGGAAGCTGGGAACAGTAAAAATACACAACAAAAGGAGAATCAAAGGGGCAACCAGGGACCCTACTCTCCGAATTGTGCCCCTGCATGCAACTCACTTCCTTCTAACTATAAGCAAAAACCTCCCTCTGTGTACTAATGATTTACTCCTTACTAGGTGCCAGGAATACAGAGACGTTCCCTATCCTTAAGATATTTCAGTCTATTGGAGACATACATTACAAAAAAAGTAATCAAAAGAGTTGTACAAAGTACTAAAATCTACACTTAGATACAAAGGATGGGCCCATCACCAAAAAGTTCTTGCTCACCTGTGGTTCCAGTCAAATAAATAAGAGCAGAAAGAAAGCATCTTTTTCTGCACTTTGCTGAAGAGTTTGTTTTAGTGGTACTGTTCTTCCTACCCTGTATTTTAGTAGCATGCTTTTCTGTAAGTCTAATAACAGAATAGGATCAGTTGGGGGTGGGGGGAATCTGCCATCAGAGCATCAGCCACAGAGATGCAGCTCAACTCTTAGGTACAGCTAGAACTCCAGGGCCGTGCATGATCTGACCCTTCCCAAGTGTCATCTCAGCCACTTTCTAGCCCTGCAGGTCTCTTTTCAGTTTTTCCCCATCCACCTGCTGAACTTGTTCCTAGCTCAAAATTCTGACAAAAGATGTTCTGTTCTATAGAATGCTTGTCCCATTATTCTTCATCTCCCTAACTCCTTTTCCATCAGTCTTGGCTCACATGTCATTTCCTCCCACCCCCAACCTAAATGACATCCCTCTCCCTGACATTCTCTCATACTACACTGTAACCCTTCACAGCACTTATCACAATGTCTAATTTATGTGATTGCTTGATGAATGTCTGTTTTCTCAACAGACCAAGTTCTATGTGGACAGGCACTGTTAATTTGGTGCACAATTCTATACCCAGCACATACCCCAATGCCTGGAATATAGTAGAAAAATGAGTGAACACAAACAAGAGTGAACAACTACGCACAGATCCAGACCAAGTTAAGCAGAGTGAAAGGAAGGACTGTGAAAAGTGTTATGTGATGAGAACAGTACTTCTGAATACTAAAAGGTGAGCCTAAACAAGCTTTCTTGGACCTGAAGGTCAGCTTCTTATCAGCTAACTGCACACTGGCCTACATACACCACCAGCTCAAACATGTGCAGAAAGGCTAGTGTGTAATTATAAAAAACAGAGAAACATCAGCTTCCAGATTAAATATTGTTTCACTCCTACTCTTCTGCTGAACAGTTAAAACATGATACTTGTGATGACCAAATCTCCACTGCACTAGTTAACATCTGAGAAAAAGTCCTAACCTCAAAACACTGGCTAAGCGCATTTATCCATCTTACTGTTTATCTCAAAAAAGAAACAAGTTAAGAGACTATGGATGAGGAAAGACACAGCCCACTCACAAGACTGTCTCAGCATACCCATGGCAGCGTAAGATTCTAAGAGGAGCCGTCAACATTCTACTCAAATTGACACAAATGCCTCTTCTGAACATCATTACCTCCCAACAAGAAAACAGAGGCAAGTCAGTTGCTCTTAGTAATGTTCCAGAGTTAGGAAGGGGAGGAGGAGAAGCAGCAGCAATATCTTCAGGGTTTAGATTTACTGTAGTAACTTGAGAAGAGGACTCCCACACTAGGGGCCATGCCAGTGGGCTCAAAATCTCCCCACAACATTTCCTTCAACTAGCTGCTGGGAAGCAACTGAAGCAAATCAAAAATGTCTCCTGCAGGCTAAGCACAAACACAGTTTGTGACGGGCTCCATGGCTGACTTATGAGGTGGCCCAAGGGTTTCCTCAGCTGATACTCTACAAAATGTGAGTTGTTACTCTATACAGATTTCCCAAAACACTTGTGACAATGCAGAACACCTTGGAAAGCCTCAAACAGGCTGAGGAAAAAAGAAGAGGCATTCTATAAAATCAGGTTCAAACTTTATATAAAGTTACAGCTCAAAGCTTTAGGGGTAACATAGTGCAAGACAAGAGAAATACGATTGGATACCTGGTATCTTTAAAGAGGTATTATAAAAAAAACTTGCAAAACTAATGGACAGACCAAGAATAGACGCCTTTTATTCCACCCAATATCATTATTCAATTAACCTTTTCCAAACTATGAGGACATATCTCAGGCTATATTTCAAATTTTACATCAGAAGAAACTATAGTGGAAACAGATTAACTACCTTGCCACAAAATGGTATAGTACAATAGAAAAACAAACAGAAATCCCCAATGATCTAGATTCTAAAGAGTCAGAAGACCTGGAACCTAGGCTTGGTTCTGCAACTTATTAGACACAGTATGTGGCCTTGAAAGGAGTCAAGCGTTATTACTCTTTGAGTCTCAATTTTCTTACCTGAAAAAAGAGGAAGAGGATCCACAAATTAATGTGAGTCAATTAAATAAGGGATATGAAATTATCTCAATTCTGCAAAATACTGCAGAATGTCCCTGCTATCACTGGGTACAAAGGTTTTCCTGGTCACACTCCAGTGCACTCTTTAGTCGCACTGCATCATCCTGCCAAATAGGATTAGCTGATCTTTTCAACTAGGAACAAACTATCCTGAAAGGTTAGGTGCCATGTGTTCTAGATATTTCAAAATATACCAAATCTTTGGGTGCTGGGTAACTTCAGCCAGCAAATATTCTCCTTTCACCAAAGGGTAATTACAGGGTACCATCCCTTTCCAGATCACTAATGAGCCCTATATACACTGGGCCTGATCAGGTTATGGTCATAATAAAACACTGCTAAAAGCTAACTCACTAGGAAATCTACTCAGTGGGAAGAATACTTATGGTGATCTTGCTCTAAGAATCCTAGATCAGATTTCAGTCTGATTCCTCAAACCATTGGATTAAGTCAAGAGACCTGCATTCTAATTGTGGCTTTTTTATTGACTAGCATTACTACCTCAAGCAAATCACTCCTGATGCCCTCAGTTGCTGTTATCATAATGAACAGATCTTTTATGGCTCTCAAACCTGGCTGCTCATTAGAAATTACTTGGAAATCCTTGGAAATTCTAGCCTCACCCCAGATACACTCTGGATTAGACTCTCTCTCGAGGACCATATATATATATGTATATATATCTCTCATGGCTCTCCCACACAGCTTAATTACAGGTTATGAATGTGAAGTAAATTCAACCATGTACCCTCTCATCTTCCCAGGAGCTGCTAGCCCCTCTCACCTGTATTCCATGTTGCTGGCATTCTTACGAGTGGCAGTCAGTTCTACCCCATTCTTTGTCCAGTAGCTGTATGTAAGGGTGTGAGAGTTGGAGGTGAGGTTACACTGCAGGGTAACAGAGGGCGGAGGGCTTTCTCGAATAATGACTTCTTCACTGGTGACAATCCTTGGTTCTGTAATAAGAGTGCACAATGATAGGAAGCCATAGTTCCACTCTCCGTAGCCCTGGCCTGAGAGTAGGATGGGGTAGGTTGGGGAGACTAGAAGAGGGAGGGCAGACAGGACCACATGAGGAATTTCACTTTACCACTTTGGAGGAAGTCAATAAAGGAAAAACAATGATTATAAGCAAATGATCACTAGCGCAGACAACAGCCTGAAGACCAGCTGGCCTAGACGTGAAAAGAATGGGAGTATTATGGATGCTTGTACTGGCAACAATTCACTTACGCGTTTGAATACCATCATTTTTTGAGATAAGAACCACCAACCAATTCGGCTTCAATTAGAAAATCAGGCTCCACCTTGCAATTCTGAAGACAAAGGCAGTATCATTTAGATAACTAATAAACTTCCTATGGCGTCACTAGGCCTTGGAACAGTAATAGTTATAATTAGGTAATACATGTATGGCTTTTCCCACATTTAAATCTGATAAATCTATGGCAAACCAGCCATGGCCATTAACTATGCAGAAAAAGACAATATATATCTTAAAGGCAAATTTCCTACTGAAAGCCTATTGCATTTTCCAAATTTTGCCGAGAGAAAATTCCTAAGGAACCATCAGTTCTTCTCTCCAGCCCGTATTTTACTTCAAAGACAAAATATTTTCAGAATTGCACTTTAAAATATTTTTCATTCTAAGATAATCATAACTAGAATGCAGTATATGCTGGTATTATGGGCTCCTAGAATTTTAGAGCTGAAAGGCTCTTAGGATTCAATGAATCCCAGTTTTTAAGAGCTAGAAAGGTAAAATGACTTGTGCAAGGCCATAATTATTATTAGTGACAAAGCTGGGCCTAGAAAACACATCTGACCAAATTCTTTATCCCTCCCCCTCCAAGCCAAAAGTACCCCCATAACACTTTCCACCCTAGAGAAAGTTATATACTTCATCTTTGGGTTCTACCTGGGCTTACATAACCTGGGATCACTCATTTAGTAACTACAAAAATAACCTGTGTCAAATGTTATAATACATTGAACAGAAGTATTTTAAGGCACACTGTATCAATACCATTCCTGAAAGGTTCATCTTTAAAGCACTTTGAATTCCATCACTATATTAAAGTCAAGAAATCTGTTGTCTTTTCTTGTTCTTATTTTTAATCATTTCCCAAGGTTAGTTCTTTTTCTACTTTAGGTCAATCATTCTCCAGTAAAGTTAAAATCTTTTCCAATCCACAATCAGAGGTATTTGCTCTTTAACTTTTTTCCCAATTATTTCCTAGAAATCCTTGACTAACTTTCCATTTTCCTGTACCTGGCTACTTCCTGTCTACAACTCTCTAGCAGCTCCCTGACACCATTTTATACACGTATAGTGCTGACTCTATAATTCTTAAAGACAAAACTCTCTCTCTCTTCACTTGAACCAAGCTTTGTTCATTTTGCAGGAAGGGGGAGAGGATGGAGAAGTCATGGGACACTTGAAAAGTGTAATGCCCAAGCACCTCCTAATCAATGTAACATTTCTGACTGTAGAGCTCATATTGTCAAAGAAACTTGTGATAAATAAAGCAAATCCTCAAGTTTGCTCAAGTAAATTGGTTCTTGTTATTTTCCAACTTTGGCAAAAGGATAGTGGTTATCTTCCAATCAGCACTGGTCCTTATCGGTAACACCAAACAGGGTCTCTATGTACAGATAATGGAGGCATAGCAGCCACTAAGACAGAAGCAGATGCATGTAAACACATTAGCGCAGTGGTGTCCCATGGTTTCCAAAACACACTGGACAGAAGCCAAATCCCTGGGCCTTAAGTCGAGCAGAACAGCTGCAAACCCTGCAATGGAAGGCGCACATACACCATCAGCAGAAAGCATCACAATTCCAGGAAAATCAAAACCAAGCAAAAACAAAAGAGATAAAGAGAACCAGTACTCCACAGAAATTAAAAAATATAAAGGCAACATTAAAACCCAAACACACTTTTAGTTTTTTACTGAATTTTTATTATCCAATTTTATTTTCTGTCCCATTTGGGACTCGTCTTCTGGTTCTTCCTCTCAGACTGCACTGAGAAAGGGTAAACTTTGAGGCCAAGAGCTTCAAGATGGTTAAATTATAAGGAGGCCAAAGTAAATGCTACTCTTACCTGTGGTGATGCAAATGACCACTGCAGCTCAGGGAGATTAAGAAGTTGATGAAAGCAACCTGGTGAACTTTCTGCCATGAATTCTCAGAAGGCAAAGGAAAGCACATTTTCCCTTAGGTGTTAAAGATCCAGGAGAGAGTCAGCAGGGAGCAAGTCGATAATTTTAACAGGTTTAAATATGATTCTGCACCATAGGAGGGTTGTGGGGTGGCATAACCTCCCTCCTATAATCACTATATATGGAAACCGGTACTAGACCAAGTTCTTTGCTCACGGTGCCACAACTGCATTCTGCACCAGGATGAAGGTGGGGCTTTTATTTCTGACCAAATATTGGTGGTCAAGCATTACTCATGACAGTCCAAGAGAGATGAACATTTAGGAGAGGCTCAAAATTCTTACCTGCCACTTATGCCTATTTAGAAGCACTGGTTCAGAGACCCTTACCCTAGTCACCATTCATATGTAGAACATGCTATGGACAGAGAGAGAACCTACAAACTGGGCATACTTCTCCTACTGCCAGGAGGTCATCCTTAGAAAATTTCAACTTCCCCTTGGAGACAAATATCATTGAGGATGCTGAAATCATAAAACAGTCCAATTAGAGTGGAATTCAGGGTGTTTAAAAAATGAAGAAGATTGGCGCTCTAAATCAATTAACTAGGATTAACTGATTGATAGGGAAGTCTGGGGAGAATCTGAACTAGCCAAGGTTTGGTTCAACCACATGCAGACACCCTTAAGTGAGGAAACTTATTTCTAAGTAAGCTGGGAGACTGCTATATACTCTCGAGAATGAGAGGCAGGTACCCCGAAGACTCGTCTTCCTTCAGCCCCAAGGCATGACCTTTTAACTGTGAGTCTACCTGAGTCAGGCTCCCACAAGTACAAGAACCAAAAGCCCAGCCCAGTCCATGCCTACAAACTTCTGCAGACCTTTGTGGCCATTTGGTAACTCTGCTTTTACAAGGAAAGGAGCATGGGGGCAGGAGAAGGAGGCGTGCAAGGGGAAAAAAAATCATTAAATAAAAGAAAAAGCACTGGGTTAATGTTCCCCATTTTCACATAGACAAAGTTTTCTTTTTCCCTTTCCAGAAGCAGGTTCTCTGATGCAACAGTGCCAATTGCAGCAGTCTCTGCTACCTCTCCTCAAAGTCCTCTTCACAGGCATCTCCTGAGTTGCTATAAAGGACAACTAACTTGCTATTTTCCATAGAAGTATATAAATCCAAGGCCCATTTCAGATGACCTCCTGTGTTATTACCAATATCCTCATAAATGCATTTTACTGCTTTTATTTAATCTCTCTAAATCAATCAGTTCGTTAAACCAGAATTGGCTCCAGGGGCTCTTATTGAATCCCTGAAAAGAAGGTGAAAAGCCCAGAGGATCTTTCCATTAAATGGAGAATGCTTCCTCAATTACAACTGGGACAGATGTGGGCTAGAACTCCTGGCCAGAAGCACTGGCTCTGTGGTAGCTTCTCCCTCCCTCTCCTTCCCACCATTAAAGCAGGAAACACTATTCAGAAAGAGAAGGCCACAAAAGCTCCTGTGTCTGATGTCTCACTTGTACCTGCTACTACAGAAGAAGAGAAGGGTTCTGAGTAAACTGCTCCCCTCACTCTTACCACTCAGAGGAACAGGGTTAGAATTTAGTTTCCTCTTTTTCTTTTTTCAAGAGACAAGAAAAGGCCAGTATGAATGGCTTCCAAACTATTTCTGGGGTTGCCAGCCTCTGGGATGATAGTGTGGCACTGACTACTGTGCCAACAGTCAGTCATCAAACTATCTGTCAAGAGATCCAACTCTGACCTTGAAACAGTATGATGGGATTTAAAAGAAAAATACTTTGCAGCTTAGTGTCACCTGGTTCCTAACAGCAAGATATATGGAGAAAATCTAAGGCTGCTGCTCTTTAGAGAATAGGAGACTAGATGAGCAGGACCATGAGGAATACACTGCTGCAGTGGAGGGCTGTTATCAGAGAAGCACATGCCACTGCTTTAGAAAAGAAAAAGAGCTAGAACTATGGAAATATCCAAGCTTACATGCCACCCAACAACCAAAACACATCACCACACCACACCCATGGCAACATTCCCATCATAGACAGGATGACACCAAGTCACAGTGAGGGAAGAGGCTGGGCAGACACAAACTTAAAACCATAGAGGTGAAGGCAGCTACTCAGAGAGCTTCAAACAGATGAATAGAGAAATAAAAAAAATAGTTAGATTGGGGAGAGAAATAAAAATAGAAAGGCACCAGATAATAAATCAGCAAAAGGATAGCAGGAAACCTACTACAAAATTAAAGGGGAGGGAAAGAAACAATTCAACACTACCCTGGTTTGACTGTCTGGTTTTGTGAGTTTTTAGATTTTGTTGTTGTTGTTGTTGTTAGCCTCCCCAGTTCTCCCTCCCCAGCTCTTCCCAATGCAGATGATTTTGGACAATCACAGATTTCCCCAAGTTCTTTGTTCCTGAGGAGAGAGACACAGAGAAGGGTTGGGGGATAAGGGAGGTAAAGAGGACAGCAAAGAAGATACAAAAAAAAAAGTTGCCACAGATATTTTCATACACTACAACCAGAGGGTCGTGGGTTTGAAAAAACGAAGACAAGGGGTGGGGTGAGTGATCATACTGGGGAAGAGGGAAAGGAAGCAGAAGGGAGGGTCATTGGGCCACCTCTAACGACTACAGTACTACTACTGTAGGGTGCTGGACTCACTCTGAAGGACGCTTATGGTAGCCTGGGCTCGAATCCATGTTATGGAAGGGTTTTGCCTCAAGTCATTCCTCTTGGGGTCGTTGCTGGCCCTGCACTCGTAAGTCCCAGAGTCCTCCAAGGTGAGCCGGGTTATTCTCAGCACACTCACGCCGTTTGACCCGTAGGCGGTGTTTACGGTGACACGGCGCTTCCGAGCACCGTCCCACAGCTGTCTGAAAGACTCTGCCCGGTTGACTTCTGCGTACCACCACTGGATCTCTGGCGTGGGGCTCCCGACCACGTCACAGTACAGCTCAAAGGCGTCCCCAGTGAGCTTAGTTTCTGACATGGGCGACTTGACAAACCCAGCTAGAGGGAGGGGGAGCAGGAATGCAGTGACAGGCCAATCAGAAAAAAAGAAGAATCAACAGGTGTTAATAGTAATTTAAAGAAAAGAAAAGAAAAAAAAGCAAATGAGTTGCAAAGAACAAAAAGGATTCATTTTTAAACTATAAAGAGACAGTAAATAGCATTTCATACAAGCTTTCAGAAGAAGAACCACCCTGGGAAGCTTATGAAGCAAAGGCAGGCTAATTACAAGCTGGGGCAGCCCAGGTGCTGGCCAGGCAGAAGCAAGCCCACTGGAAAGCATTTTAGCAATGGGCCCAGCCGGTAGGAATGAGAAAGCCTCAGGTTTCAGGGAAGTCTCTTTCCATAGAACACAAACCATTACCTTTTGAAACTCAGGCAAGTGATGAAAGATAACCGAAGTGGCAATAGGTTTATATGCCAAGTCAGGATCTCTCTTTTGGATGGGTGAACACTTGGTTAGAAATGCAGTGTCTTTTATGGGTCACAACAAGAAGCATTAATGAGCTATGACACCTTCTTTTGGGAATCAAGAGTCCACATCTCACCTGAAAGGCTAGCATACTTCTCACTCATGCAGGATCCTATCCTGAATTCAGGTTAGACTTTCCCCACATCCTCTTCTTCCGTGGACCCATGGCAAACAAATAACCCCGTTGTTTGTGAGGCAGCCTCTATCTGAAAGCAAACCCTCTGGTACAGGAGAGCAAGACAGTCTGTACTTCAGAGTGAGAATTACTATGGGGGTCAGCTCAGTAGTGGAAACAACAGTAACTCAACTTATTGCCAGTGTCTGGAAGGACTATTTCCTCCAACAATCCCATAAATTTATAAACCAGAAAAATCTCCTGGAAAGTCAAGTCTTAAAAATAACCATGACACAAAAACAAAAACCAAACCAGAACAACAACAAAAAAAACCTCATGGCATCTGACAGGCTCTCTTCACATTCTTTAGTTGCCTGGTTCCCAGAGGCCAGCTCAAAAAGAATGAAAACTGTACAATGATGTATTAAACTTAAACTTTATGGTAAAGGCTAGACCTCACCAACATTGCCAGGCATTGCACAGGAACTAAAAGTTGATGTCTACTTTCACGTGCCCATAATTTGTTTGAGGTTACACTTGCATAAGACAAGGTGGCAATGGCAAAGAGAGAGCAAAAAAATAAAAAAATAAAATCCAGACTTATTGGAAGAACTTGGAATGGAGTCCATATCACAGTGTAAGCATACTCTCTCTCACCCATTTACTCCACCAAGGGTCCATCTGGCATTTCTACCAATTCAGGCTAAAAGGTACTAATAATTCAGTATCTAAAGTACAGGCAAGAAGCTAAAAGAGGGTACTCTGAGTCACTGGGCAATTTCTCTTGGGCCCAAGCCAGATCCTCTGCAATGAGCAGAGTAAGGCCAGTTATCTACCAACATCAGGTTAAGAACATTTCAGAGAAGTATGAATTAAATGGAAGTTTCCCTATAGACCAAAAGCCAAGGATATAATGGGATTGCTGAAAATGGAAGTTGCTAAGTGGAAATTTTTCTGTTTATATCCACAGCATATTTGTCTTTGGAGATAAACTCTACACCATGGACCTCAGAACCCTATGGGAAATACTACACTTACTCAAGCAGAGGTCAAGAACTCCAAATTCATACTACTCTTTCAAATGATAAAAGATTCAGGATCTGGGAAGGATAGGAAAGCAGTCATTAATAGCCTCAGATGAACTGTTCCGCCTTCAAAATGACACACCTAAACTACCTTTTGAGACCGGGTATCTGTTCCTTGAAAGGAACTAGTTATGAGAGGCCCCAAGAAGCCAAAAATATATCATTCTCAGGTGCAGGGGAAGTTTCAGAATTCCAGAAAGAAGCCACCAAGCCATGGCATGAAAAGCTGAGCTCACTTCCAGATAAAAGGGTACCCAAGGAGCTTATGTTTTAGCTTTCACAGCAAGGAAAAAAGTATTATTCCCCTTTAATCATACTCTTGGTCATTAAGTGAATTCACAAATGCTCTTATTCTCACATTCTCTGTGAACTGGGGGAGTTTATGTCCACTTGAATGATGTGATAATGTGCCTAATTATGCTCTAGAAATATGTTGTTAGTGGATTTCTGTCTTTTTTCTCCCTTCTGAATTGCGCTTCAAAACAAGCTTAGATCTAAGCCTATTCAATCTACTGGCCATACTATGTAGAAGGAATGCCTGCAAGTATGTCCAGAACCACCAAGAACCCATCCAATTTCAAAATAATCACAAATCCCAAGACACCACAATTCAAAGATAGTGGAGAAACAGTCTGAACACAATTCTCCACTGTCCAGAACGAAGAAAGTCACTCAAACCAACACTGCGACTTTTGGACAAGACTTACTTCTAAGGAAGTGCTGATCTGATTTAGTTTAGTTTTCTACTCATATACAGGGAAGGGGACCAAGTCGATAATGTTCCTTGAATTAGTAAAATATATGATATATATTTAGGGCTTCCCCTGTGGCTCAGTGATAGAGAATATGCCTGCAATGCAGGAGACACAGGTTCGATCCCTGGGTCAAAAGATCCCCTGGAAAAGTGGCAACCCACTCCAGTACTGGGAAATCCCACGGACAGGAGCCTGAGGGCTACAGTGCATGAGGTTGCAAGAGAGTCGGCTAAACAAAAACAACGAGGATACATATTTAAGCAAACTTACCTAAAAAAATAGTAAAAATCCCTTAAAACAATGACAACAGACATCTATCTGTGCTCTGAGGGCTATTATTATTTTTTATTATTATTAGATATGTATATCAATAGATAACATTTTCTAAGTATACGTTATGTGTTAGACAATGTGTTAAGCACTTTTATACTACCTCATTTAATCTTCACAACATAACATAGATGCAATTATAATCCCTTTAAAAGATGTGGAAACTAAGGTCCAAAAAAGTTGAGTACTTCTCCCACAGTTACAAGCTAATAGTGAAAGAGTCTAGACTGGAATTCAGGTGTGTCCAAAGCCAAAGTACAGTCTCTTAGCACCACAACTGCAGTCAATATGTCTCCCTGGGCCAGAAAAGTTATAGATATTTTGGTCACCACTTAAATATAATTAATTAATTCTGGCTATGAAAAGTCAAGACTCCTCCACTGGAACGTGCAGCACACTATGATGACTAACTCCTTAAAATTATAATCCTATTGAAGAATGGAGACAGAATAACACAAGGATCAAAGTCCTAAAGCAATTATGCGAATGTGAGTGAGTGGGGGGTGGAGGGTGGATGGTGGGAAGCAGGAGAAAAGAGTGAGAAAACAAAAGATGGTTCAGGAGCAAGACTTTCCCCATAGTTCTGATGATTCTACCACTCTGCTCTTGAGAAGCCTAGCTTAAAAGACATTAAAGGCATTTCTCTAGTGTTGTAGTTAGTGGCCAAATTACTAAAGAGCAAGCACCTGAAATTTTTATAAAACAACAGTTTACAAAGTGCTTTCACACATATCACATCTCATTTTGTTCACAAAAATTCACAAGGTTCATAGATCAAGCGCAGAGAGAGGTTCATGATTTGATCAAGATCACTTAGGTAGCTAATCCTGAGTGGAGCGGGAATCAAAACACAGGTCTTCAGCTTTTAGTGTACATTTCTTTCCCAAAAAAACACACTGCCTCTAAATAAAACAAGTGGGGAATTCCATGATAGCTGAACACTCATCAAAAATCATGAAAACAGATCTATTTCTCCTCCTAGCAGTAGGGAAAAGAAAAAAAAAAACAACACTCTCTCTACACAGTACTGTGGAGTCACAGCAAGGCAAAGTTATTAGCAACCATCTACCTCATTATCCATCCAAATTTAGCTCCAATTCAGGAGAAAAGAACCAGCTCTCAGCAACAGCAGGCAGCAAGGCAGTTCACAGTCTGACTCACTGCCCTGCCTTTCATTACCAAGGGCTTTCAATCAAACAAATACATGCCCTCAACATGAGAGCACACACTGCTGAAAGTCAGGAGACCAGGAAAAGCATCTGTTTGATTTCCAGGTCAAAGCTCATCCAATATTTTGGAAAACGCCTAATTTCAGAAAAATACCTCCGGCCCCCTCTCCACCATCATCTCCATCCACTGTAATAGGTAACTGGGCTCAGAACTCAAACAGGTTTGACAAAGTACTAATATCAGTTCCTCCAGTTCAACAATGATAAAGAGGGAAGTCAAAGAGTGGTCACTAGCTTTGTGGGAGGGAGGAACTAGAAGCTGAGGGTGGAGGAGGGTGGCAGGCACAGTATTAAAAAATGAAGACAGTAAAACCAGGAAAAGCTTAAAGTAAAACTGTGTAACTAGGGATGGGATGAGAAGATGACAGCTGGGGCTAGCAGCCGGAGAAAAGGAGGAGCTCTCTGGCAGGGAAAACTGAATGTGTAGATATGTAGCAGAGGGTGAGAAGAAAAAGGGAACACAGAGGAACAAGCTGAGCCCAATCCCAAGACAACTGCTTTTACATATACCCTAAGGAAGCAAAAATGCTATCCCAGCCCCATACATGAGGAACCATCAGTGATTTTTTTACAGTCAATATTCTCATTTTTCTCCAGGGCTATCAGTGAACAGATAGTAAGACTCACTTATATTCCTCTCTCAGCTGACTACTGCCAAAGGTCAGGCCTTTAAATTTAGCCTGTTTTTGTCACCTTAAAAAAAAAAAAAACCAGCTGTTCCCTTCAAGCCCCTCTCCACTACTAATTCCCTGTGGGTGGCTCATGCTGTTCTTTCCTTTGTGCCTCATAATAAAGAGGAAATGACAGCCAAGGACACAAGAAAACTTCTCTCCCCCTCCCCCATTCACTCATATCACGCACCTCAAAAAGAAGACAGACTCTGAGCAAGACAAACTGATATCTAACTCCTATCATAGGTACGGTATTTCAAATCTAAGTGACTCTTACCTGCAATAAGCCTGCCTATTCTTACTGCTTATTTTAATCCTTAACACTATCCCTCAACACCAAAGA